TGACGCTCATGTTTGGTATTTGTGATTGACATCTGGGAGTTGCATACCTTTGGACACTCTGCACATGTGGCTATAAAACTAGACTTTTCTGGCTTGGCCAAGCTCCTGTTTTATCAGGATATTTTAACTGCAAGTTAATCTGCAAAGTGGATACTCTCGGATGGCCCCAGATGGAGAGCAGCGTCCTTGGTTCACCTCTGGAGGAGGATCTTGTCCCTCCCCTCCTCCCAGTTGCTCATGTCTAATTACCTGCCTGACGCTTCAAAAAAGTCTTCAAGGTTGACAAGGGAAGATGAGAGTTGAGTTGAGGCTCACTTGAAATGATGTTAAGGGCAGGCCTATAAAAGGCCTACATCACTTCTTCACATTCCACTGGCCAGAAGCCAAGCACTTGACCCTCACCTAATTGCTGGGGAGGCTGGAAAATGCAGGAGAGCTTGTGCATATTTGGTGAGTGCTGCCTCTGCTGTAAACTGTTAAATTCAGTTAGGTGAATGTTTATTACAGTGTGCATGGGACTTTTCCATGCACAGGGGTGAAGACAAAGAGGGATATGTCGTGCTTTCTTCCCTAGTAGTTTATAATCCAGCACTCATTGTGGGCCACAGCCTGTACTTCATTGTAGATTCTCAGATCCATAGCCTATTTTTAGTGTTATGAAATTAATAACCAGTGGGCATTGTGGTGAGCAGATTAAGCCACCACTTGAGATGCCAGCGTCCCATATCTGACTGCCTGGGATCACATCCAGCTTCCTGCTAATGTGTACCCTGGGAGCAGCAGATGATGACTCAAGTACTTGCATTTCTGTCACCTAGGTGGGAGACCTGGATGGAGTTCCTGGCTTCTGTCTTGGGCCTGGCCAAACCTTGGCTGTTGTAGGCATTTGAGGAGTAAACAAGCAGATGAAAAGTAACTCTGTTGCTTTGCCTTTCAAATAAATAAAAATGAATTTTTTAAAGGATTAAACAAAATCTTAAAAATAATAACTTTTTGAAAACAGCCAAATGATTTCTATCTGCCATCTGCATCAGTTAGGATTCATGCAAGAAACAGATGGCACATTCAAATTAGGTGATTTGAAGGGAGTTTCATAAAAGGACTTTGCAAAGGTATGGATGGGGTCTGCAAGGGAAACCACAGGGTGCAAGAGGTCCCAGCTGCAGCCCTGGAAGGCTGCTACCAGGATGTCTCTACCATTGTCAAGGCTGCAAAGGCAGGGGGAAGCAGTGGTGTCTGGGACTTGGAGACTACTGTAACTCTAGGCCAAGGGATAGAGTCAAGTCTTGAACCTCACAGCAAGGGAGCCAGCAAAATACATTCTCTCCCCTCACCCTCTCCTGCCCTCCAGTCTCTTGTTGATGATCTCTGGTAACTGAACCCCACTGGAAGCCAGAGGAACAAGGAGCGGGGGGCAGACAGGAAGAGTCTGAATCTGGAGGGGCAGGCAGCACCCATCACCCTACACATTTTTTTCACCTGTTTGGCACATATTTTTGAGGCCTTGTTAATTGCAAAGTTTTAAACACTAAGGGGGGCACATAGAAAAGATATGCCATTTCCTTCAATAAGGGGGAAGAGACCTCCAGCAGAACCAAATTTCAAAGCTAAGTCTCCCGAAGTTTTGTGTTTAGGCACAGGCTGAGTGACACCTGAAGCTTTAGACGAATTGTGAGTGGTGCAGATCAGAGGAGGAAGAGATGAATATGCACTCGGCTTGGCAGGGAAGGTTTTGTGGAGGAAACGGAACTTGAGCTTGGCTGTGGAGGGTGGACGGGTTTTGTAGATAGGAAAGGAACAGAGTCATATGTGCATACAGCTTGCTCAGAATCTATTGCAGGTGGAAGTTCACACAAGGTTAGTGATCATTAAGTTTGGAAATAGTTCAAGGTCAGACTTTAGAGAGTCATAATGAGAAAACCCAGAATTTGTGGTTTTGAAAAACTGAACATTTTTCAAAGAGTATAAAGTGTCATGAGAGAAACAGTTCTGCAATGAAATAAACTTGAGAAATGCATACTTCCTACCCTTGGATACATGTATTTAGCATATTATAGACTAAGACATCTTGCTATAAATAAACTACTTTTTCTGTTAACCTTGCAGTGGCAACAAAATTTGCCTTCTACCCGCCTCCCCTTAAAAGTAAAACATGTTAAAACCCTGTGAAACTCTGGTATTCTTTAAAAACATGGTTTGGGAAATGCTTCTACAGATAAAGCTGTTGTATAGTTCTGAAAGAGTTCTGACATAATTAAAGGGGTGTTTCGGGGAGATTGTTCTGACATTGTGGTTTGGCCTACAGGTGATCATGTGGGAGGTGATTGGTACCGCATTGATCCAGGCGCGTAGTGCAGGTCTGCACTGAACGGTGGTAGCTGAGCCATAGAAAATGCAGACAGCCTGACCTGGTGGCTGATTATATGTGTGAGAAGAGGAGAGCAGGGAGTCTTAGAGATCAGTGATGACATAAACTATGACTTTCAGGCCCAAGTTTCCCAGCTCTGGAAGTTTGTGAAACTGCAGGCTGTAACATGGGTGGCTCTTCAAGAATAAAGTACAAAAAAAGAAATTGGAGAAGATGGAGTCACAGTCCATAAAAGGCAACTTAATGCTTATTTTGAAAAAGGAGTTTAAAAGTATGTGTCCTGGACCTGGTGTCAAAACTGGTTGTGATTCAGCCGGCGCCGCGGCTCACTAGGCTAATCCTCCGCCTTGCGGCGCCAGCATACCGGGTTCTAGTCCCAGTCGGGGCGCCGGATTCTGTCCCGGTTGCCCCTCTTCCAGGCCAGCTCTCTGCTCTGGCCCAAGTGCAGTGGAGGATGGCCCAAGTGCTTGGGCCCTGCACCCCATGGGAGACCAGGAAAAGCACCTGGCTCCTGGCTCCTGCCATCGGATCAGCGCGGTGCGCCGGCTGCAGCGGCGGCCATTGGAGGGTGAACCAACGGCAAAGGAAGACCTTTCTCTCTGTCTCTCTCTCTCACTGTCCACTCTGCCTGTCAAAAAATAAAAAAAATAAAAATAAAAAAAAAACAAATAAATAAATAAAACTGGTTGTGATTCAGACTAGAAGAGCAGTGTTCTGACCAGACCGTTGGGCTTATATGTGTGTTGTCAACTCAAACTGTGTGTTTATTGATCATAATTGTATACATACAACTTTTATTGGATCCCACCCACCGGGCGCAGACCAGTGTAGACTGAGAGCCAATTGTATCTTGTTTATTTGGAGTATTAGAAGTGATAACCTAAAAACATTACTAATTTTTGTGGCGTGTTTCTTAACACCTTTCAAACCAAAATCATGTTAGGAACCAGCTGCTTGTTTGACGTTTATTTGTTTAAAGCCACATATGAAAAGAAACTCATTAGTGTTGGTTAAAGAGATAACTGTTAAGTAAATCATTTTAAAAGTATTTATTATTAGATCATAATTAATCACCCGAAAAGGGGAGAAATCCAGCAATTCTGTAATACTGTGTGAGGCTGTATTTCTTAATTGATGCTTTATGTGCAGCTATAACTTTTTTTTACCTCATTTCATATGCTTGCTGTCATTTGCCCATATCTCTTCTTTGCATGACTGCTTTTTAGCTTAGCTTCTTATATTGTGTTTTTATTTATAGAAGACAAAGTACAATGTGATGCTTCTTCCTATTACTTGCTCAATTCCTTGTTTAAATGCTAAATCCTTATTTTAATGTAGTTTGGGGATAAATTTACTGAAAATATTCAGTGCTTATATTTTCAGTTTTGAATTTATTCATATTGTGACAGTAATTGGTAGAAAACTGTTTCTCACAGCTGACAGGCCAGAAAAAAAAAGGCTTGGGGACAAAGCTACCACATGCCAGAGTGTTAAGGACCCATCAGATATTTAAGGAAGTGGCATTTGTACTTGCATTATTTAAGCCACTATTGAGAAAAGGCATGGGAATAGGCCATATTTGTAGCAAGCATATTATAGAAATCATTCACTAAAGAATTGTGTTTTTGAAGAAGGTATAACATCTATCAGACATTTTATGAAGCACACAAACCAAATAGATAATAGGCTGTATAAAAACAGACTAAAAACCATGAAAGTTATGGCATATGTTTTTTTAAATCCAAAAACCCAAAGAAATACTTCTGCATCCTCGAAAATAGTGATTAAGCCCAAATTTCAAACTGAGTCTTAGTTGATAACTTTATAATTATCTATCACTGAAACAGTATTTGGTAAATAGTAAAGTAAGTAAAGATACAATTCATATTTAATCTCTGTTTTGCCAATTAATTTTTATCATTGATTTCAGACTGTGTTTTAGGGACCTTTGATGTTGGGAATCCTTAGGTGATGGAATTGCCAGTCTTTCATTTTAATGATTATGGCTATATTTGTGTTCTTTCTGGGAGGAAAGACCAATCATACTTAATAAAAACCACAGTTTCTCACTGAAAGCTCATCAAAGAGAGCACCAACTTTACCCTTAATTCCCTTGGGGTCTGCTGGGCGAGCAGAAAAGGATGGAACAGTCATCCTTGATTGATTTTTTTAAAAACCAATGGGCCAAACTTTGAAGAACCATTAGGGTATTTCAGAAAGTTCATGGAAATGGAAAATTAAGTGAAAATAAAAGTAGAAATCCATACATTTTTTAAAATTTATATAGCTCAATATACCATAACTGTTTGGCACTTTGAAGATGTTCCGTTAAATCATCTCAGATCCTTGTGAAAATGAAGATTTGTACTCTTAACTGATGGCATTACATACTTTTTTTTTAACATACATAATTTTATTACAAAAATTTTTTTAAAAAAACACAGAATGCAACATCCTAAAAAAAAATCCAAATTTACTAATGATACTAATTCCTACAACTTTGCTGTGCTACCATACACAAGTCAAGAAATTAAAGAAACCATTAAATATTTAGGAACATTCAACATCAGAAGCTTTAAAATCTAACTGTATGTAGTAGCCCCTCAAAAAGCTACAACCTGCATTTAAAAAAAAAAGTATTTTCTCTACAAAGAATCTTATCAGCTATACAAAAATCTGTACAGTTTTTTATACTGAAGCTAATATTGAGCTGCACTTGAATTCACATTCTTAGCAAAACAACTGCCTGAGCACACACGTACACTCCACACTCATCATTACAGGATAGCTATTTATTCTTCATCTTCATCCTCTTCCTCATCATCTTCATCTTCTTCCTCTTCCTCTTCTTCCTCCTCATCTTCAGGTTCATTCTTCTTCTTTGAGCCTGTGGGCCTAGCAGGGCCCTTCTTTCCCGCTTCACTTTTGCCCTTGGCACGGTATGCAGCAATATCCTTTTCATATTTCTCCTTTAGCTTAGCTGCTTTCTGTTCATATGGTTGTTCATCTTTGGCTGACTGTTCAGACCACATCTCACCCAATTTTTTTGCAGTGTCCCCAATGGACAGGCCAGAGTGTTCACTTCTGATCTTTGGGCGATGTTCAGAGCAAAACAGAAAGAAGGCAGATGGTGGTCTTTTAGGAGCATTGGGATCCTTTTTCTTTCCCTTCTTAGCACCCTTGGGAGGAACGTAATTTTTCATCTCCCTGTCATAACAAGCTTTATCGCTTTTTGCCATATCTTCAAACTTGGACTTTTCCTTTGCAGACATGGTCTTCCATCTCTCCGAGCATTTCTTAGAGAATTCTGCGAAATTGATCGAAGAGTCAGGGTGTTTCTTCTTGTGCTCTTCCCGGCACGTCTGCACGAAGAAGGCATAGGAGGACATTTTGCCCCTCGGCTCGTTGGGGTCTCCTTTACCCATGACGACGGAACGGCGGCCACCTGGTGCGAGTTGTTCCTCAGACTCCCGCAGAGCGGCCAGATCGGACGGCGTCGCTTCCTTCCCTCAGCTCCGGCGTGAACTGGTTTATCCGGCATTACATACTTTTTAAGAAGTTACTACGTTCTGGAACACTTGAACCTGACATTTTACACTGACAAGTGTAACTGTCAAATATTTTTTTACCTTTTTTCCTCTTGCATGGTCAGTGTAATGGGTTGAGCAGTGTCTCCCAAAAGTTCATGTCTGCCCAAAACCTCAAAAGTAACCTTACTTGGAAAGAATTTTGGCATAGATAATGAAGTTGGGGAAATACTGGAGTAGGGTGGGCCCTGAATCCAATGACTGGTGTTCTTTTAAGAAGAGGAAGAAGCTCTTGACTCCTGGCGTCAGATCAGCACAGCCCTGGCCATTGCGGCCATTTGGGGAATGAACCAGCAGATGGAACAGCTCTCTCTCTGTCTCTGCCTGTGCCTCTCTAATTCTGCCTTTCAAAAAATAAATAGATCTTTAAAAAAATGAATTTAAATACGGGCTTAAATTTTACATTTCTAGGATACAAAAAATGATCATGAAATATTTTGTTATGTCTAAATATAAACATTCTCCATTTACTAGAATCATTTTTATCTCTCTTTAATTAGAAGTACTTTTAAAGTATTGCTTTAACTATTTCTTATCCGAGAGTTGAAATATTACCAGTAGAGGCACTAATGATGATTGGAAGTGGTGTAGATTATTTTCACCTGTCTCAGTTTTCCTCATTAGTTTTATTGTACAAAGATTCCTAGCATTTATATTAAATTCTCACCCTTAGAGAGTATAGATAATAAATATTCATTGTTTAAGTCATTGCAGGAAATTTATAAGAATTTCCTGCTAGAATAAAAGAGAATCAAACTTAATACTTGGTAGTCTTATGTGAGTGATTGTTTTAGTAACATGAATTTATGAATTATAAGCAGAATTTATTTTATTCTACTAGGTGAATAAACATCACTTGTGATTGTTAAACCTTTATATATACATGGGCAAAGACTCAAATTATCTTCAGTAATGAGAAAGGAGTCATTGTTCATAGCTGGTGTCTGGCAAGAATGTCATATACCAATTTACCATGTTTCCAAGGGGAAAGTGAAGATTTTAAGGGCCACTTAATAATTATTCTCTTTATGCTGTCCAATAATGCTTTCACATGTTATGAATCAAAATAAAAATCCCTGTGGCAACCATGAGCAAACCAGTATGCCTGACAGTTTCCCTGATACATCATGTGAATGAGTCATGTGAGTGGTATTATCCCCAGTAAATTTAAAATCCAGGTGGGACCTTGTGGATTTGTTACTAATATGCTTAGATTTTTTTTTTTTAGAAATAGCATTTGTCCATTCAGACTTAAGACTATTATTTTAAATGCCCAAATTAGCATAGTGACTTTGTTAGCATTAGGTTAGCCATAGGAGATTATTTAACTCTTATTTGAGATGTTGTGGGTCCTTTATAAACAAATAATTTCCTGGTTATAATTTAAACTTTCCCTAAACCCGAGTGTTCATTTTTAGAAGACCAGTTGCATAAATTGTGGTAATACAATTGTTGCAGCTATAAAAATAATGAGGATACACTTATGTATTTATATGAAGAAAAATATTAATATATGTACATATATATATTACTAACAAAAAGGAAAAGTATAGAATCATTTGTAGAGTAAGCCATTAATGGAAAAACTCAAAGGGGTATGTGTGTGTAATCTATATATGCATATACATTATTTATGTTGGCTTTTTATACCAAAAAAAAGTCCATGGGAGGATAAACAAACTAATGAAGAGGTGTTACCAGTTTGTGTGTGCAGGGATGGAAACTTAGCAGATGGGATTGCATGGTGACTTTTTCCTTATATACCATTTTATGCCTTATGTTTGAGCCATATGAATATATTAGTCAAATAGGTAGGTACTATTATGTTTTTAAAAAACATGCTGGTGAGTTCCATTTACAAAAAAAAAAAAACTCCACTAAGTGGAACCCTACTTTAAAAATTGTTTCATTCAGCGTGGGTATTTGGCCCACATCCCATATTGCAGGATTAGAGTTTCAGTCCCAGTTCCATTACTGATTCCATCTTCCTGCTAATAGGCTTCCTGGGAGGTAGCAGGTGATGGCTCAAGTAATTGTATCACTGACACCCACATGGAATACCTGGGTTGAAATCTTAACTGCCAGCTTCCAATCCAACCTAACCCTAGCCCTTGTGGGCATTTGGGGAGTGAATCAGCAAACCGTAGCACTCTCTCTCAAAGGAAAATAGATAAATAAAAATGTTAAAAATGGTTACATTCATCCAGATAATGGAATGTTGTTCAGTGCTAAAAAGCAGTAAGCTATTAAGGCATGAAAAGATACAGTGATACTAAGTGAAAGTAGCCAGTGAAAAGGCCTTTATGGTATGATTCCACCTATATGACATTCTGGAAAAGGCAAAGCTATGGAAAACAGCAGTGAAGAAAGGTTGCCAGTGGTGGGAATAGGCATAGCACAGAGGATTCTTCGTGCTGTGACACTGTTCTGTATGATACTATAATGGTATATGTTGCTTTTAGTTTGTCCAACCCCATAGAATGTTTAATGCAAAGAGTGAGTGTTTTTGTAAATTAAACTACGGGATCTGGTGACAAAAATGTATTAATGTAAATGCATCATTTATACCGAGTGTACCACTCTGGTGGGTGATGTTCATGAGACATAGGCTGTGGGCATGTATTGGGCCGGGGGTGTATGCATCCCTTGTGCCTTTTGCTCAGTATTGCTGTAAACCTAGAAATGCTCTAAAAAACAGTTCATTCGGAAGATTACATTTTTTTAAACTTTTATTTAATGAATATAAATTTCCAAAGTATGGCTTATGGATTACAATGGCTTCTCCCCCATAACGTCCCTCCCACCCGCAACCCTCCCCTTTCCCACTCCCTCTCCCCTTCCATTCACATCAAGATTCATTTTCGATTCTCTTTATATACAGAAGATCAGTTTAGCATACATTAAGTAAAGATTTCAACAGTTTGCTCCCACACAGAAACATAAAGTGAAAAATAATAGATGATTTTTTAAATGATGATGAAATCAGATCAGACCTATTGTCATGTTTAATCCCAGTGAGAGTCAAGTTGGGAATTGATAATTTCTTTTTTTTTTTTTACAGAAGATCAGTTTAGTATGCATTAAGTAAAGATTTCAACAGTTTGCACCCCCATAGAAACACAAAGTGAAATATACTGTTTGAGTACTCATTATAGCATTAAATCTCAATGTACAGCACATTAAGGACAGAGATCCCACATGAGGAGTAAGTGCACAGTGACTTCTGTTGTTGACTTTACAAATTGACACTCCTGTTAATGGCATCAGTAATCTCCCTATGCTCCAGTCATGAGTTTCCAAGGCTATGGAAGCCTTTTGAGTTCTCCGACTCTTAGGAAGATTACATTTGAGGTTCGAGAGGAATTAAGAAAAAATAAAGCAGCTGTTAGGTGTAGATTATTGTTGAAGCCACCAAAAAGGTATAAAGACAAAGCCAGTTCTCTGAAAGCGTACCGTGGTTACAGCAGAAAAGATCATCTTTATCTTGTAGGATTCTACCACTTCTTTGAATCGTGCTATGATTGAACTCCTAAATTCTTTCAGGCAGCAAGCGAACTCTAGTCCTTTCAACTTTTCTGTAGATGTGGTTTCTGGATTTCATATTTTCCTAGTTGCCTCCCTCTAGTTCTCCATTCTGTCCACATGCTCCCTGAAAACGTAAGGTCCAAGGTGAAAAGGGAGCTTGGTGTAACTAGCTCTGGTAATGATTTTTTCACTTGTCGGCTTTTAGGATAACTAATAACTGAATCTACTGTTCTGCCCATGGGACAGGATATGTATTAAGTAGTTCCCTTCCCTGTGAAACAGCATAATAACCATGCTGTTTTATTCCGTAAGAGTTTCTCCTCTGTTCTATGAAGCTTTCTACAGTGAGACATTCCTATTATTGTGAAACTTGGTTAACTGTTGCTCTTAGTTAGCTCCTTCCTGTCTGAACCACAGGACAGTCCAGCAAACATCACCAGTTACCCAGCCTCATCCCCTCAGTGTCTGTCGTTAGTTTAACTCTGGCTGACTTCACAGTAACCCTTCTCTCTGTCTCCATGCTATGAACTAGGCCATAAAACCTACAGACCTCTGCCTCATGACGAACTTGCTGGAAAAACTCTTCTGTTAAATGAGGTTGGCTCACATGTGTGTATTGTTGCACTGCGAACAGATCTTGGACATAATTGTATCATGTATTGTCTTGGACATAATTGTATCATGTATGGTGCGTGCCTATTTGAACTTGTACAATGATGTGTAATTGGAGACCTTTCCTAGATATTAACCTCTTAGTATTCAAAAGACAAGCACCTTAACGTGCTAACTTCTCTTCGTGGGGTTTAATAGTTTATGTCTGTGTCTTCCTACAATTAAAATTTTAAATAAGGGATTTTCTAACTGTCTTTTAGTTCCAGGTCATTTCTGTGGGTGAAAATCTCATGTTACATAGTAGTGGAAGAAACTAAAACTGGAGCTCTTTGGTTTGAAGTGAAGGCTTTGATGGAGGAACGTGAGAGTTTTCCTGGAACCTTACCCTCTAGTCTCTTGGGCCCCTCCTAAGCAGCCCTTGAACTATTTGCATGGAATCCGTATGCTTGAATTCAGCTTCTCTCATTCTGTCAAGAAAAAGCACACTCATAGGATTGTTGTAGAGCTTTTGACTTCACAAGATAGTAATTTTGACCGCCAGCCTTTTGGATACTTTTATGTGAACTTATTTTCCTTATGCAAATACTTAGTTATGGAACCAGCATTGTGGCCTAGTGGGTAAAGCCATTGCTTATAATACCAGCACCCCATGTGGGCTCCAGTTCATGTCCTGTTCGGGTCTCTGCTGATGGCCTGGGAAAAGCAATGGGAGGTGGCCCAAGAACTTAGGCCCCTGACATCCATTTGGGAGACACAGATGAAGCTCCTGGCTTCAGCCTGGTCCTGGCCATTGCAGCCATCTGGGG